TTCTATTGTGCACCAAACTACCAAAGCAGATAAAATTTATGGAGTAATTAAAAAGATTGAGCGCCGATTATTTTAATGGGAAATCTAGCACCAAACTTTGAAATTAATATTCTTGTCTAGGTAGCTTATAGTTGGTCGTTAAAAATTAAAATTCATTAGAGTCGTTGTTGTTTATTGGTCGTTAAAAATCCTTTTTCTAGTAGTGGTAGATGGTATCTAAACTACTAATGTCTAATTAATCTTGTTACTTCTTAGGAAATGTGCTCATGTAATTGCTCTTGTTAGGTGAAAATAACCATCTGTAGTATTCTAGCATGGATATTGAGTGCTTGTCCTGTGTAAATCCCTAAGCAGATTCCATGGACTTGGAGATGGATCCTTGGGGTGTCTCTTGTGCCAGGCTGTTCTGTGTGATGTTATTCATGCTCGATTCCATTTTAACAACTTTTTATTTTCTATTTTGTTATGTGTCAATTCTCTGGTAATTCAGGAAAACCAAACGAAAGTACCAAATTCTTCTGGAGAATGATAAATCAGAAGCTACAATTGTTCTTTCGAAAATCGATGACCCTTATCGCTTAGAGGAGGAAATTGATCAGCTAGCTATTGCCTTAGAGGAAGAAAGCTTTAGAAAGAAATCTATGTGGTGTATGAATTGTACCAAACTCAGGGAAAATTGCACTGTGTTTCTTTGCAATTTTTATATGATAGGGGGCTGGTACATAAACATAGAGGGCATAACGGATGGTTCGAAAGAGGTAGCAGTGTTAACCTTTAAGAACACCAGCGGGTAAGCCTGCACTATAAATCAAAATAAAGAAGTAGTTTTGGTGTTTTAAACATAGGGCATAACACGTGCAATTCATATATCGCATAGGACATTGTGAATGAGTTTGGTGCAATTTTCCCTCAGTAATAGTGAATAACTCAAAACCAGAAACCCAGTGCAATTTTCAGATCAAAAGAGCTTAGGCTTGCATTTTTCGCTAGAGCTGGACTACAGGTGCTTTATTAGACTCCTCATGTTAATATATTTCATGTTTTGAAATATACAAGTATTCACTGGTGGAATAGGCAATATGGATTTATTATAGGCATTCCAACAGTTATTAGGCGTCAATACAGTCATGTACTAATGTACTATAGTCCAACAATAGTGCGAATGGATGGCTTCCGTTCAAACCAAATAGTGTTACTTATCTCACTTATTGTTGCACTAGTGAATGGCTTGGGCACAATCCTTGAAATTAACCTCATTGACCATATCAGTTGCAAAAAGTTAGTCCTGGCAAGTTTAAAAAGTAAACAAATCTTGGTGGAGGTTTAGATGAACCCTTTCAATTTAGGGATTGTTTCAGTGTGAGTGCTTGTAGAAACTAAAAATGGATAACAAGAGTCAAGAATCAACCTCTTTGTTAAAGTGACTTCATTTTTATTGCAGGTGCCAAAATTAAAGAAGCCCAACAAGGTGATAATATGACTCATATGATAATGGAGGAAAACAACGACAAGAGAGTCAAATATGAAGAAATGGGTGTTAAGATGCATAAAGTGAAGAAGAAATGATAAGAAGCAAAGCCAAAGAATATTGTAAATGTACTGAATCAAAAGAATAGATGAAATTATATATCTATTGTGATATATCTATTTGTTGTTTGTTGTTGCATTTTGTTAAATGGTAGGTGTTGATTTTTGTTGCAACGTGTTGCTTTTTGTTGCAACGTGTTGCTTTTTGTTGCAACGTGTTACTTTTTGTTGTAACGTGTTGCTTAAAAAAATTTGATTTTAGTTGATTTCAATTTTTATTATTTATTTACATATCTACTCATCTCTAATGCTTCTTTGCAATAAAATGTATTATAGAATTATATATAATCATATAAAATGATAAATTTAAATTTATTAATACAGCATATATACAACAAGAAACATGAAGAAACAATAAGAAACAAAAAAATTCGAAGTTAAAAACAAATATAAACACAAAGAAACAATAGGAAACAAAAACTACTAAATATTAAACCTCGTAACCATTATAAAAAAATGAGTTACAAAAGTCATATTTTTTCCTTCTTCAAATTTTACATGTATATTCTCTTACATTTATTCTATTTTTCACATATTTATTTCTGAGATCTTATATCTTTCATGTTTTATAATTTTTATTTTTTATTTTTATTTTTATTTTAATTACTTTCGTTTTATTTTATAAATTTTGTCTGAGTTTTTTAATGTTTCAAATTTATAAATTCAATAAATTTCTTAGCGTTTTTGTTTCTATACATTTATTTTAAAAAAATACTCTTTGCATAAAAATCATTAAATGCTTTTCATATGATTAATAGTTTCAGAACATTTTATCTTATTTTACAAACATTGTCTATAATTTTTAGGTTTTCAGATTTTTAATGCTTCACACGCTTTATAGCTTACATTAAGTTTTCTTATTTTTGTATGCATTACATATTCTTTTTTATTTTACCATAAAAATTAATGTGATTTTTTTGAATATTTCCAAAATTTACTTGAATTCTAAAGATTGTAACTTTGAACTAAGTTAATTTTCATAATTTTAATAATGTCAGAATACTTGATCTTATTTTCCATTTAGATATTAAAAAAAAAATTAACTTATTGGTTGAATTTGCATTTTTATTACAACTTTTTAAAATATACGGAGTATATTTTTACTTTGAGTTTTTCTTTATTTTGTTATTATTTTTAAGACTTTTATTATCTTTCCATTTATTTACATCCTTTGATGCTTTAATAAATATTTACATTTGATTATGTTTAATAAATAAATAAATAAATAAATACGGAGTAATTGTTAGAACTTGTACTACATACACTGTATTAGTTTGTGGTGTAATTAGTACCGGTGGGCGTAGCTCAACTGGTAGCGAGGGAGTGCCACAAGGATTAGGTCTCGGGTTCGAATCTCGGCAACTGCGATGAGGGGTTACTATGCTGAAAAATGCATAGGGCTTCTGCAAGTACCGGGGACAGAACCTCACTCTCTATCTGTCAGATTGTGATTATAGTCCAATTTACATCCTCCCATCGTGCCATTCGGTCGGTGTTGGGGGGCCCTCAGGGATGGGGTGTCATCCTTGTTAGTGGTGTAATTAGTTAATGAACCAAGGAGTACATTATAAAAAGAGAAACACACGTGCTCTTCATGGGCTGAGATAAACACACAAATGCTTCAAATGTGTGAAAGAGACGCGCATGGTCGATTTAATTTGTGAAATAAAAAGTTAAACGGTAAATTTTTGAAAACAGCATTAGAAACCGAAAAAAGTGATATTCCCTCCGTCCCAATTTACTTAGCCAAACATGATTTTCCAAGTCAATGGTATCTAACTTTGACTGTTTATATATTTATATAGATAAAATATTAATAACACAAAAATTATATGAAAATGTTCTTTGTTGAAAATACTATCATAAAAGTATAAAATTTTCATTTTTTGCATAAATATATCAGTTCAAATAATTGCTCAAAGTTTACCACCTTTGACCGCAAAAGTCAAGATTGGCTAACTAAAATGGGACGGAGGGAATATTATTTTCACTTGTAAGCCCACTTCCGAATATTTCCCTATAATATAGACCCAGAGGCCCACAGCTACTAGCTAGCGATCCAGCACGGCGGTTATGTATATAAAACCCTTGGGTCCTGCCTAAAGCGCACCTACTTACGGCCGCGGTTTATAGTTAAACCCTTATTAGGCCAGTCCTGCATGAATGAGGGTGTTTTCTTGTTTTACGGGAAAACCATGCACTAGTTGCCAAAATGTGGGAGAAAAATTAGGATTTCTAAGAATACGAAAAGCGTGGGACTCGAATCCGAAATAAATAGGGTTGGGAGGAAAAGCTACTACAGAAGGAATTTTGGATTCCATGAATCCGAAAATCAATTTTTGCTTTTTGGGATTTCACTAATTCGGATTAGATGAATCCGATTCAATCTTTTCTTTATTATTATTTTATTTTAATGGTTCTTTAATCATTTTTAATCTACGTATCCATTTAGTCTTTGGATAATATATTTATTTTTTTTTTCAATATTATGAAGATGTTTTTGGATTGTTTTCAGTCCCATATCAGATCATATCAGATTTAAATTTATAATTTTATAATTTTCTTAGGCAAATTTGAGAGCATAAATCTTCTTAAAAATTAAAATTACATAACTTGACATAGAATTAAAGGAAATATATTGATTGAGTTTGTTTCTTTATCAAAAAGAGATTGTTATCATCATGATTGACTAAAAACAAAACCAACATAAATTTCAGTTTACCACACTTAGGATGTTTCCTTTTTGACTTTTTTAGTCTCAGACTAGACCAGACTCATCCAGATCTGACCAGATCAAACTAGACCTAAACAGATCAGACTAGACTAGACCAGACTAATTCCATGGTTATAAAATACATTGAGATCATACATTTACCAGACCATACAAGACCGGTTCAGACCAGACCACACCGGACGCCGACAAGCCAAACCAGACCAGAATAACAAATTTCAATCCAAAAAGAAAACACCCTTAAATTTCAGGGGCGAAAAACAATTGAAGGTACTACTCCCTCCATCCCAATTGAAGGATCTCATGCGGTTTACGATGTTTTACTGACCATAAAGCTTACTAATCTCTGTCTAGGATTATTTTTAGTAAATAAAATTACATATTTAGAAACTATCTTAAAAATTTTATAATAACTGATCAAGAAAAATTAAATTTGATAAAAGTTGGATATACTTCCTCCGTTCTTAAATAAATGCAACGGTCAACATTTCACACTTGTCGAGACACAACTTTGACCATTAATATAAAAGATTTTGTATTAGTAAAAAAAATTAAAAAAATTAGATTATGAAAATTTACAATGAGACAAGTTTAATAATATTTTTTTCATAAAATAATATTATTACATTAATAAATAAAACGTAGTCAAAGTAGAATATGTGAATAGTGTAAAAGTCAAAGTGTTGCATTTATTTAAGAACGGAGGTAGTATAAAGTAAAAGATTAAGAACAATTCACGTTGACCGAAAAATAGTCGACGAGAACCTTTAAGGCTTTAAATCGGACAGAGGCCGGGAGTATGTACCATATTTTGAGAGACTAAAAGACATAGTTAAACCTTATAATTAAAACTAGTTTTGGGTTAACATACATATTTAATAATGTTCTAAAGTCACAAAATCTGATATATTATTATTTACGTATATTATTGTTATTATTATTATTATTATTATTATATTATAACGTTCAACCACATACCTATTGGGATTTCCCAAATCCGAAAGTGGAGAGAGGAAACAAACCCTTCCTCAAAGTCGGATTTCATAACTCTGACTCTCGTGTTTTTGTCCTTAAAAAGGCATCTTCATATTTTGGGAAGAAGAACGAAAAAGTCCCGTAAATCCATCTTTCTCTCGCATGGGCATGAATGAAGCTCCCTAAAATCGTTGCGAACCAGGCGGGCGCTTCCTTAGCGAAGCATGTCTTCAAACAAGATGGCAACGTCGCCTTCTCTCCCCTTCCCATTAACATCTTGCTGGGAATGATCGCCGCCGGCTCCACCGGCCGAACACGCCGCAGCCTTCTCTCTTTCCTCAGCTCCGACTCCACCCGTGACTTCGATGCTTTTGAGTAGTTTTGCCTCCCACGCCGTCACCAAACTCCTCGCAGACGCCAGTCACACCGGCGGCCCGAGCATCGCGGCGGCTAACGGTGCTTGGATTCTCAATCGGTTGACTTCCGCTACCAGGTTTTCCTTTTTGCTCGATCATTTTGCTATGATGATATTGTGCATTTGTGCTATATGTCCCTGACCGCGTGTATATATATACTCCGTATTTATTCTACGTAAATTTTGTGAATTAGTTCATTTAATTTGTAGATGTAACACGTTCGCTTTAATTTCCCAGTATTTAATTTGATCATGGAGATTGATTTATATACTCCGTAATAATGTTAAAGTATTTGTCTCACCTCATGTGAGTTTTAACATATCAGCTTTAATTTCCCAGTATTTAAAACACTATATAAGACTTTGTGCTACTTTTCATATCAGTTTTAATATAAAACTCCAGATCTAAACATGGTTTCAGAGTCAAATCCGGTTGTGGTTTCATTGTTTGTTTAGCACTCATGATTAAAGATAACTTCTTAAGGGTCTGTTTGTTCCATTATATTTATACACTCCGATATTGTCCAGCTCTATTCGGGCTGAGGGGCATGTTAAAGTATTTGGCCCACCACAAAGTTATAAAACAATAAAACACTATATGAGGTTTTGGGTTCCTCCTATCAGAAAAAAATTAGTTATGTCAAGAGTTGCTGGAATTTACTCACAAAATGTTTAGTAATAATAGAAACAACTTTTAGTGTAATATATCACTCATGTACAATACAATATACTCTGATGATTCTGATTTATCTTATATAGTTATATGTGAGTAAAGAATTATGAAGAACGTAGTTTAGTAGTTTATTGTGTGTGTGTGTTTTACTTTAGAGTGGATTACCTATCTTGGAGTAAAAGATAGCCAAAAATCACAAATAGGGGTACATGTTTTAAATTTCCTAGTAGGACAAATTATGTATGTTTGAAAAAATACACTCTTGTAGCTTTGTGCACTAAATTAAATATTTAATAGAACTAATAAATTTAAAAGAAATCAAAATTAAAAAAATAAAAAATTAATAAAAAAATTAAAAATAAAAATAAAAATAAAAAACGTAGGAAAAAAAATGCCGCCTCTGGCACCCCCTGCTCCGATCACCGGAGAAAAAATGCCATGATGAATTAGTGATGACATATTTACGGCAGTTTCGATGAAAATTTTGGCAATATCAAAGAGTAAAATGTCACTTGACCTTTTAAGAAAAAATGACATTTTGTTTTCAAAAAATAACATTTTTTCACCGATCGGATGTGGTGCTGTAAGGTGGTAGAGGCGGTGGGAAAGGCATCCATATTTTATTTTTTTTATGGGTTTTTACTATTTTTTATTAATTTAAAAATTTAAAAATATCAAAGTAAAACTTTCAAATTTTCATTTTTATAATACTTTTATTATTTTTATGTTTTTTTTATGATTTCATTATGAATTAAAACATTTTATTATGCATTAATACTATTAGGGGTATTTAGGGTAGAAAATAAATATTTAGTCTTATTTGTGAATGATTTGATCTATTCCTATTTGTGAAATTAAGTTTACATTTAATCCTATCTAATTAAGTCAACTTTTATTTACTTAAGAACAATATTGTTTGTCTTGTTATCATGTTTGACTTCTCGATTGATAAATGTAGAAACTTCGAATAACAAGGAAACTCTATATTTATCATGCATGCTTGTAATATGACTTTCCTTATTGGATATAGTTTCAAAAAGGACTAAAAGTAACGCTGTGTCCTTAAATTGGAGTCAGTGCCGATCCTACCCAAGTTTAGACCTGAATCGAGATACCTAAAAAGGCCCTTATAAATTACTTTCTCCGTCCCAAAAAGGTTGGCCAAATTTTCTTTTTTGGATGTCCCAAAAAGATTTGTCATTTCTATTTAAAGTAAGAAATATGTGGCTAACATTAATTATCTCCGATCCCCTCTGCACAAATTTCAACCACATAATTTTTACTTTATTAATCCACATGAAAGTCAACTTTGACCAACCTTTTCGGGACGGAGGGATCACAATTTTTTTGAAAGACTATAAATTACAATTTTATGTAAATATGTAGTATAATTTGTTTTGAAGTTAAAGATAAAACATCAAAAAGTAATTAATAAAATAAATTTTTTACATAATACTACGTACAATATAACATTACCAAATGTATTTAAAATAACTAATTAAGTATAACCCCTCAAACAATATTAGTCGCAAAAATATAAATTAATCAAAGTGCTCAATAAATTACTTGTCAATTGATAACATAACTAATTCACAAAATGTCAAACAAACGTTGAAACTAATATTAGTTAAACAAATGTGCTAAATAATACATACTGACATGTTAGTAAATACGAGTGCATAACCTACTTAAAATTTAAATTTTAAATGTAAAAAAACTGAAATTGTTTAATTGTGCATCTCAATTCTTTTAAATATGCCAAATTAAACACAAGCTGAATTTTCTAGGAATGGATCAATCAAGTTGCAAAAATAAAAAAGCTATGGATCAATCAATGGCATCAGAAATCACCCTTGGAGCAATTTCAGCACTCCGATTAAGACAAAAAAAACCATTTCATTGTGCAAAACAAATTCAAATTAGGGCCATAACCTTTCTATCTTTACAACTTCAAAAGTCAAAACTTATGTTCAGTCGTTCCGCTTCACTTTGTTGGTACTTGATCGGCTATTTTAGTTTTGAAGCACAACAACACATAGAATTTAAAGCAAGACACATCTTTTATAATTTAAATATATGTAAATAATGGGAAGATATTTTGAATTATGGACCCTTAAATTTTCAATATTTTTGGGGCCTTGAGGCCTTTGCCTCACCGGCCTCTAACAAGGCACGACCCTGATTGGAGTACGGTTTTTTCCCAAAATTAGAGAGGAATGCCGTCATCCTAAAAACATACGTAGTAATGTTGTATTACGTAGTACTGCCTAGCCTCTGTTCTCTTTTACTTGTAACATTGGACTTTTGCACTATTCACGTATTCTATTTTGACTATACTTTATTAATTAATGTATTATAAATTAAATTTTTATAAAGTATTTTTAAATTTTTCTCCTTCTAAATTTTCAAAATATGAATTTTTAAATTTTTTTACTAATAACGAATGAAAGATATGAATGGTCAAACTTGTGTGTTGGTAAACGTGAAATGTTGACTGTTGCAAGTAAAAGGGAACAGAGGAAATATTACGTATGATATCGGGACATTATTAGACATTGATATCACTATTGGACAAAAATGTCTATTTGTATTAACAAACAAATACTCCATTTATAGTACTTCTGTTTGGGAGACCATCTTGTTTATACTACAATTTAAGGTAATTCCTTCTTTTATCTATTGTTGAGAGTGGGTTACGTTTTGTTACCCCGTTAAAATGACATTGTTGTTGTGGTGTGTGCATGCGTATACTTCGTACAGGCAACTAGAGTGGTAAATGATGTGAATTTGTGGATTGAGAGGAAAACAGGTGGTCTTATAAAAGATGCACTTCCTGAGAGTGCTGCTAACCATGAAACAATGCTCATTCTTGCAAATGCAATTTATTTTAAAGGAGTTTGGACTAATGAGTTTGACGAAAGACTTACAAGAGATAGGGATTTCTACCTTATGAATGGAGCATCTATCCAGGTGCCCTTTATGAGTAGCAGTGATGAACAATATGTGAAAGCATTCAATGATGTCAAAATCCTGAAATTGCCATATAGACGAGGTAAGGATAAAAGTCGACAATTTTCCATGTACATCATCTTGCCCAATGCAAACGATGGTCTACTACATTTGATGGAAACCATTACCAAAAACTCTGGATTTCTCGAGCGCCACGCCCCGAAAAAACAAGTGGAAGTGGGTGAATTTCGTATACCGAAATTCGAAGTAAGCTTTGACTTTAATGTATTAAGTACTCTACGAGAGCTTGAGGTGGAGATTTTGGGTGATGACCTAAGAGAAATGGTTATCCACCCGCTGAACAGTCCCTGTGTATCATTCATTGCCCACAAGTGTGTTGTTGATGTTAACGAGAGAGGAACAAAAGCTGTCGCGTTTACCGGGATGGGGTGTTTTGGATGCAGTTATATGAGGGTTAAAGAGAGAATAGATTTTGTGGCTGATCATCCCTTTGCCTTTTTCATTCGAGAAGATGTATCCGGGACTGTCGTCTTTGGAGGGACAGTGCTTAATCCCCGATCTTGAAGAAATTACCTCATAATTTAATATGCTTGCTTATTTTACAATACCCAACTTTCTTTTTTTGTTTATCTTTTTTTCTTCTTTTGAATGTGTTTATTAATGAAATGGTAACGTATTGCATCATCTTTGTCTACATATTTTTTGTTGGTGTGCTCTATTGAGTGTTTCGATCGCAATCTGTGGGTATCACTTACACCCGCACCAATTAATTCTCTTCTATGATAATAAGGTGCCACATGAATGTGTGCGTTAACCCGGTATTTCATTCAAGGAAGAAACATTTAGCCCTTGACTTCTTTTTTGTTGGTGAATTAGTCGTGGTCTGTTGAAAGTCAAACATATACCTACAAAATCTCAAATTGATGATATCCTAACAAAACCTCTTGGCAAGACCCCGTTTTCATTCTTTCATAGGAGTATCCAAGGGATCCTTTATCTTGCAACAATTACTTCTATTTATAATAAATATAGTACACATTTTTTTAAAAATCAGTTTATTCTAATTACTAGAGCCCACAATTTAACAGTTGCATGCACGATTTGGAGTTATTAATAGGTAGATTCTATGGTACCCATAAGGTACCGTACCTTTGTCCACATGGACCAATCAGAATCATGCAGTTGAATTATTTAAATCTAAATTAAAAGGGATTTAATGATTTGAACCAATCAAATGTATAATAGGTACGGTACCCCTTTTTTTAAATGGGTACCGGAGTTAGCTCAAACACACTTAGGCTATGTTTGGTACAATTAGTTGAAAAGATCTTTTTGTGAGCTTTTTAGTAACTGTTAGCTTTTAATGACTGAAAAGATCTTAAAAGTAAAAGGTGGTAGCTGTTTGGTAAAAAGCTGACTGTTTGATTTAGTTCTGTTTGACATACAAGCTGTTAGGATTTATTAAAGCTAAAAGTCACAGATTTTTCTCAGATGCTACTACCTGTAGCATCTCAAAAAAGAGCTTTTATTTTTTGAAAAGCTCTTAAAAATTGGCGTTCCAAACAAACAACTAACAACTTTTATAGACTTTTTAAATAGTACAAAAGCCAAAAGCTATAGACTTATGTCAGCCAAACATAGCCTTAGCTCAATCATCACCGGAAACAAACTACTATAGTTTTATATATACGCTTTCCCATATTTTTATGGCTAACAACGTGAGATCCAAACTACGAGCACTATGTATATACTTCTTCTCCCAGGGGCGGACCCAGGAAGTTTATCTTGGGAGAGTAGTAACTTAAAAAAAATATTTTTTGGGAGGGCAAAAATTATTTTTTGGTATATATATACACTAAAAAAATTTGTTGTTGGAGGGGCCACTGCCCCCCTGGGTCTCTACTACGGTCCGCCCCTGCTTCTTCCGTTCTTTTTTAGTTGCAACGGTCAACATTTCACATTTTCCAACGCACATCTTTGACCGCTAATATATCTTATTTTCTATTAGTAAAAAAAATTAAAAAATCAGATTTTGTAAATTTGTATGAGATGAATTGAAAAATATTTTTAAAAAAAATCATAAAATAATAGTGTAAAATGTAGTCAAAGTAAAACATGTGAATAGTGCAAAGTTCAACATGTTGCGATTGAAAAGAAACGGATGATAGTATATGCTTATTTATACCCAAAAACTATACATATTTTATATGTATATGTACACCCAGGAACGAAATTTGACGTTTCAGCTTGGACCAAATTAGCACTTGCCAAAACTTAGTGGAGTCCTTCGTGTACACCGGGTTACACGATGGTCAAATTGTCTGTGTATAGACAATTTGTCTGGCTACACACAATTTAACCGACGTTTTATGAAGAAAATCAATTCTCACACAGACAAAAATAAAGAGTTGTCTGCATCACAGACATTTTAGACGAAATTTTTTCATAAAATGTCTATGATACAGACAATTGTAAACGAGAATTTTAAACAAGAATTTTAAAATGTCTTTGATACAAACAATTTTTTTATTTTGTTTGTGTGAAAATCAGTTTTCTTCATAAAACACCGGTCAAATTCTCTGTGTAGCTGGTCAAATTTTATGAACACAAACAATTTGAACGGCGTGTAACGTGTGGCGTGTACAAAAAAGAATTTTCCAACTTGGTGATGTACAGTTTCTTTTTTTCTTTTCTTGTGGATGGCAGGTAATCTCAACCGTGTATACGTTAGAGCATCTCCAATGGTACAATGTGCACGGTGCACACGTGGTATGAGAGATAGCCATATAAATATTAGTGAATAAATTCTTTATCTCCTTATTTAAATGATTTTATACAGTATTGGTAAGTTTTTCTCCACAATGTCAAGGAGACCGTCTAGATGTTGACATTGGTTTTGACATTGCAGGGAAAAACTTACCAAAATTGTATAAATTCATTCAAATAAGGAGAAAGATATATTATTTGCTAATATTTATGTGGCTATCAATCATGCCACATGTGCACCGTGCATATTATAACATTGGAGATGCTCTTATAATAGCCTGTTATGTGTGTCAATCAGGGAATTGAAATGAAACTTTCTACTGCAATCAATACATGCATAAACAAATTTTTAATTCATGTTGCAAAAATAGGGTCCCATCTCAAGAAGCAATTATCAAATCATCCAAAAAATTACTCCGTATAACTTTTGGATGGGAAGGCTTTGAATGCCTTAACTATATCTTCACAAATACAATGTATCTGAAAAGGAACAAAAAGTAATTAAATGTTATATGATCGCATAAAATTATTCTTTCAATTCTTCTAAAATTATAATATACTACCTCCGTTCTTAAATAAATGCAACATATGAAAATTTACATTATTCACATATTCTACTTTGACTACGTTTTATTTAATAATGTATTAATATTTTTTATGAAAAAAATATTGTTAAATTTGTCTCATTGTAAATTTTCAAAATCTATTTTTGTAATTTTTTTACTAATACAAAATTATATATATTGATAGTCAAAGTTGTATCTCGACAAGTGTGAAATGTTCACTGTTGTATTTATTTAAGAACGAAGGAAGTATGTCATCAACAATTCAACATGTAGACTATTTAACAAGGAAAATTCGCTGTGTACACACCCGGTTACACACCGGTGTACACAGCATAAAAAGCCCACCCCTCCTTTTTTCTAACTACTTCACCCCACCCTCTTCTGAACTAACCCATCCCACTCCCCTTCTCCTCCTCTTCTCCTCCCATGCGCCCCTTCTCTTTCCCGACTCCCCACAAAAAAAAACCCGCAACTCACTCCCTCTTCTTCTTCGTTCTTCGTCGAATTTGAGACCTACGAAACCCAAGAACCCAACAACCCTCACCGTTCTCCGTTCACAAGTCATGAAATCCCCCATCACGCGTAACAGTTGAATCGACGAAACTCATCCGACCGTCGTCCGCTTCACTCCGCTCAACTGGTACGGCGGTGACTGAATTTGAAGGGCTAATCTGAAATTTTAAAGTGGAAGGCTTCAACGGTCATCCAGGGCTAACGAACGAAGGACATGGTGCGCACATCATTGACTCTAATGGTTCAGAGGTAAAGATCTGCAAAACCAACTTCTTTTGTAGTTCTTAATACTTTGCAGTTCCCTTTTTTGTTGTAATTTTTTGAATTTCCGCATTTTGAGATGGGTTTTGTGAGATGTCGGTGTAATGTGTTGTTATGTGTTTGTGGACTTAGAGTTCCCTGTTTTTTGCATTTCGTATGTCCTTCATACAGCTCCTGTGAATTTCCCTGTTTTGTGTATTTTGAGATGTCTGCAAAGTGTGTTCTTATGTGTTTGTGCATTGTAGAGTTCTGTTTGTAGTTGTCCTGAGATGTCTGTGTAGTGTGTTGCTATATTTTTGTGGATTTAGAGTTGTCTTTATGGCTTTTATGAGATGTCTGTGTGGTTGTGATGCTTGTCTTTATGTTTATGCTATTTCGATTTGAGAAGTCTGCATCCTGTGTTCTGAAATGTGTGTGCATTGTAGACTTGTCTATTTGGTATTCCTGAGATGTCTGTGTAGTTTGTTGTTATACGTTTGTGGATAGCAGAGTTGTCTGTATGGTTTTCTAGAGATGTATGTGTAGTGTTCTAGCATGTGTTTAATTTGTGCATTTTTTAATTGTCTATAAGGATTTGCTGAGATGTGTGTGTACACTGTTCTTATACGTTTGCGGATAACAGAGTTGTCTTTATGGCTTTGCTGAGATGTCTGTGTAGTGTGTTAATATATGTTTGTTCATTGGGTAGTTGTCTATATGGTTTTCCTGAGATGTCTGTGTACTTCGTTTTTATACGTTGTGCATTTTTGAGTTGTCTATATGGTTTTCATGAGATGTCTGATGTCTGTCAGCATTGGTTGTGTGCAATTTTTTAGGGTGGAATTGCAAATTCCAATCAAAGATTACTTTCCCGCGCAATACTCTATACGAGAAATTTTTTTAGGAACCTCTGTCACTGCAGCCTTAGCCAACTTCTGGTCAATGAGATCGATGGAATCGAAGTTCGAAGGGCTGTAGGTAGGGTATCTCCATGATATCACCGTTGATGACGCTGTCCAAAGCAGACTGTTGAGGACTCACAGCAGCCTCCCACAAGGAACATTATTTTTGTTTAGTTTTGTTTTTTCTCTTGCCTAGAATATGTTTGATAAAATGTTGGAATGAATGTGTAGTTGGATAAGATATGTTCATTTTTGCTTTCTTCCCACTTTAGTATGAATTTCAATTCAAACGCTCCATTTTATTTTCAGGATATACATAAAAATTGTCTAAAGCATAAATAACTATTGTCTAAAGCATAAATAATTATTGTCTGTGTATATATAATAATTGTCTGTGTAAAGAAAAAAACATATTATTATCTATGTATAAATAACTATTGTTTGTGTATGTATTAATAAATAACTTTAGTCAATATACTTAGGTAACACATCTTAAGTGATTATTGCTTGTGATCAAACATTTCATATCAAGATTACAAACATTTTCATTTTACGCATTAGCATGTTTAAGTGGTTATTGTTTGCAACCGGACACAATTTGTTTTGTCTGTGTC